ATCCCAGTGAGTAAGCCTCTTACCTAGCTGGGGATGAGACGGTCGTGTCTTGGGCTCACATGGTGTGTGTGTGTGATCTGCGATCTGCGGGGGGGGGAGGGGCAGCAGTGAGAGTGGAGATAGTGGTTTATTCAGTTGGACTGAAGAAAGGTTGATCTAGTAACCCTGAGTCTATAGCCTCTTTCTGAACTAGAAAAAACGGGTGTGGAAACCATTTTCTACCCTCAGGAGGTCTATTTAGGGTGGTGAACCTCTTTTGCTAGTGGATGAGAGCAGCTAGGACTGCGGCATAACGGGGGAGGAAGGCACTTTAGGCATGTCGGTAGAATGGGGCAGTTTGGCAGATGGGAGACGGGTGCTAGCAGAGCTCCCTAGGACTCCTAGCCCACACTGGGCAGGCACTGTCGGCACAGGTTGTGGTGGTTGAGAAAGGCTTCCTGGCAAAGGCATGCTTGGAAGAAGGGACACTTTGGCGGATGGGAGGTGGTCTGAGGCTGAGGTGTGGCCTGGGGGGAAAGAGTGAGACATTGAAGGTCTTTCCTGATTCTCCCCCTTGAATAGGCCATGTGAGCAAAACTTCCTCAGGGCCACAGAACGGAACAGCCTCGATGAGGAAGGGTTCAGAACTTCCCACCCGGCAGGGAGCAGAAGAGAAGCGGAAACACCTTCCAGACCGGTGGGGCCCTGGGCATCTGGGATGACGGAGGAAGGTAGGGGTGTGGGGAGGCTCCAGCAGTCAGAGAAGGCTTCCAGGGCAAGGCAGGTACATAGAAGGAACTAGAAACGGTACTATGGGTGGGTTTTACAGCATCAGCCAAGGTGGGGCAACCGGAACACACGACTGACTAAGCCTGGTGTCTGCCCTGTCTCCACAGACAAGATGAGCCTCCGGCCAAGAGTGAGAAAGCAGCCTCGAGGAGGCAGCACTGGTTGCACAGGGACCTGCGTGTGCGCTTTGTGGACAAACTGTACAAGCGCGGCCAGTATTACAACACCAAGGTGGGCACCCGCAGCCTAGGTCCCCTTCCTCCCCCAGGGACTGGGCCCCCTTCACTCTCTAACATTCTCATGTCCCCTGACCCTCTCCCCAGATGATAATCGAAGATGTCCTCAGCCCAGATACTTGTGTGTGTCGGACAGATGAAGGCCAGGTCCTGGATGGTGAGTCTGAGGGATGGCCACTGGGTCATTATCATCCTGGAGGCTGATCAAGAAGACTGTCTTAGCCCTAGCCAGTTTGGCTCAGTGGCTAGAGCGTCAACCTATGGGCTGAAGGGTCCCGGGTTTGATTCTAGTCAAGGGCACATGCCTGGGTTGTGGGCTCAATCCCCAGTAGGGGGCATGTAGGAGGCAGCAGATCAGTGATTCTCTCTCATCATTGATGATATCTCTCTCCCTCTTCCTTCCTCTCTGAAATCAATAAAAATGTATTTTTTTAAAAAAGAAGAAGGCTGTCTTAGACCAACAGTGTGCCCAGGCAAAAGCTGGGAGGTTGGGCAGAGTTGAGGGTTTTTTTTTTAATATATATTTTTATTGATTTCAGATAGGAAGGGAGAGATAGAAACATCAATGATTAGAGGGAATCATTGATTGGCTGCCTCCTGCACGCCCCCTACTGGGGATCAAGCCCGCAACCGGGCATGTCCCCTTGACCAGAATCTAAACTGGGACCCTTCAGTCCACAGGCCGTTGCTCTATCCACTGAGCCAAAACAGCTAGGGCAGAGTTGAGGTTTTTTGCAAGGCCCAGCATCCTCTAACACAATGTTACTTATCTGAGCCCTGCTTTTCACATCTGCAAAATTAGCCTGGAAATGACCCATTTCTTCCTATTGTGACTGATGCCTTATGTGAGTGTGTATTGAACTCCTCATGTAGGGCAGGGCTTATACATGGTCACAGTAGGCAGTGTCTTGTTATCACCACCACCCATCATTGTATGTAAATGCTCCCTTTCATACAACTATTGCTAGGAACTGCTCCTTAGGTTTCCTAGTCTGTGTAGTGGGACTCCCATCTGTCAACAGGGTACAGGTAGCTCCAGGGAATACAGGACCCTGGCTGGGCTGGCCCTTGGCTGCAGACCTCACTCCCCTTTCCTTCCCTGCAGGCATCAGGGAAGACATGCTCGAGACCCTCATCCCCAAGGTCCAGGGCAAACGGGTGATGGTGGTGCTGGGTCCACAGGCTGGAAGGGTGAGTCCCGGACCTGGGAATGGGCAGTGGGAGCATATAAGGGATGTCCCAGGGTCTGGGTTGGCCTGGCTGACTTCAACTTTCCCTCCTCTAGGTGGGCCATCTGCTGAGCTGGGACAGAGAGCAGAGCCAGGCTGTGGTTCAGCTGCGGAGAGAGAATCGGGTGGTGGAGCTTCACTATGATGCTGTTTGCGAGTACATAGGCCCCACTGACTCAGATGAAGACTGACCCGTGGACCCATTCCATTCCCCAGTTGTGCCACTTATTGTTTGATGTTGGGTTTCTTTTTTCTTGTTTTTTTTTTTTCAGTTGCCAGTTCTGTACAGTGTGAAAAGCCTGCCTTTGTCACTGTTCTGTCCTGCACTTGCAATACATCCCTGGGACAGGGACAGGTCATGAAATGGATAGACCAGAAGGGAGGCTGGAAACAAACCTAGTATTTATCAGCAGTTCATATAAAATAAAAAGCATTTCAAATACTTAGACGAAGAGCTTATAAATGGTATACTAAAAAAAAAATGGTATGCTGAGCTGTGAGTGGAGGTGGGAGGTGCGCCAAGGTGGGAACCACTTCATTTTTCAGCCCTACTGCCCTCCTTGGGCTGTCAGACAATTGAAAGGATCCATTTGCGGATCCATTCGCTCGCAAAGTCACTCAGAACACAGAATCTATGAAATCTGTCCCCTAAGCAGATACTATGGAGTCTGGAACACCACATCGCTGGACAATTTCCTAAGCAAGAATCCTAGTAGTGCTTCTGCTTCTCATCTTGGTCCAGGCCATAACTTGAGTCCAATGATGGCAGTCAAGAGGAAGGGAAACATCTACCCATGAATGGGATATGTTAGCACTGCTTTCCAAAGGAGCCAGTTAATTTCATGGACCCCATTTTAGTCCCAAAACTTTGGCTTGAAGGTAAAAAAAAAATTTGCCTTGCAGCCAGGTAGCTTAGTTGGTTAGAGTCATCCCGTTAGGCCAAGGTTTTGGGTTTCATCCCTGGTCAGGGCACATAAAAGAATCAACCAGTGAATACATACATAAGTGGAACAACAAATCGATGCTTCTCTCTCCCTTACTTTTTTTAAAAATTTTGTTTTATTGCTTAAAGTATTACAAAGAGTATTACATATGTCTCCTTTCCCTCCCTTCCCTCCCCCCTTTGACATTCCCCCGGCCTCCCCCACCCAGTGTCTTGTGTCCATTGGTTATGCTTATATGCATGCATACAAGTCCTTTGGTTGATCTCTTACCCCCTGACCCCCCAGCCCTCTCTGGCCTTCCCGCTGTAGTTTGACAGTCTGTTCAATGCTGCTCTGCCTCTGTATCTATTTTTGTTCATCAGTTTATAATGGTCTTTATTATCCATAAATGAGTGAGATCATGTGGTATTTTTCTTTCATTGACTGGCTTGTTTCACTTAGCATAATGCTCTCTAGTTCCATTCATGCTGTTGCAAATGGTAAGAATTCCTTCTTTTTTACAGCAGCATAGTATTCCATTGTGTAGATGTACCACACTTTTCTAATCCACTCATCTGCTGATGGGCACTTAGGCTGTTTCCAGATCTTAGCTATGGTGAATTGTGCTGCTATGAACGTAGGGGTGCATATATCCTTTCTGATTGGTGTTTCTGTTTTCTTGGGATATATTCCTAGAAGTGGGATCACTGGGTCCAATGGGAGTTCCATTTTTAGTTTTTTGAGGAAACTCCATACTGTCTTCCATAGTGGCTGCACCAGTCTGCATTCCCACCAGCAGTGCACGAGTGTTCCTTTTTCTCCACATCCTCTCCAGCACTTGGCGTTTATTGATTTGTTGATGATAGCCATTCTGACAGGTGTGAGATGGTACCTCATTGTTGTTTTGATTTGCATCTCTCGGATGATTAGTGACTTTGAGCATGTTTTCATATGTCTCTTGTCTTTCTGAATGTCCTCTTCTGAAAAGTGTCTATTTAGGTCCTTTGCCCATTTTTTGATTGGATTATTTATCTTCCTTTTGTTAAGTTGTTTTTAAACCCTTATCTGTGATAACATTGGCAAATATGTTTTCCCATGCAGTGGGCTTTCTTGTTTTGTTGATAGTTTCTTTTGCTGTGCAGAAGCTTTTTATTTTGATGTAGTCCCATTTGTTTATTTTCTCTTTAGTTTCCAATGCCCTAGGAGCTGTATTGTTGAAGAAATTGCTTCGGCATATGTCTGAGATTTTGTTGCCTTTGGATTCTTCTAGTATTTTTATGGTTTCCCGTCTTACATTTAAGTCCTTTATCCATTTTGAGTTTATTTTTGTGTGTAGTATAAGTTGGTTCCCTTACTTTCTCTCTCTAAAAAAAAAATAAAAGCTGAAAAGGGCTCTGTCTCAGGTAGAATTTGGTTGCTCCAGGTAACTGGATTCTCAAAGAGGTTATTGTCAAAGAACCCTCACTTTTCTGTTTAACGGTCTGAGATACAAAAATCAATGAGGGAAGTCAGAGTTTAGGCACAATTGTTTTTTAAAAATATTGTTATTGATTTTAGAGAGAAAAAAACATTAATTTGTTATTCCACGTATTTATGCATTCATTGATTGATTCTTCTATGTGCCCTGATCAGGGATGAAACCCAAAACCTTGGCCTATCGGGATGACTCCAACCAACTGAGCTACCCAGTCAGGGTGGCACAATTGTTTCTAAATCATCCCCAGTCACTAAGTCATAGATGTAATAAGTAGGATTTGAGTTAGATCTAGGCCACTGGTACAAAGTCCTGATGGGTCAGAATGTGGCACAGTGCTAGAGAACTTAAAACACCCCTAGAGCCGAAACCGGTTTGGCTCAGTGGATAGAGCGTCGGCCTGCGGACTGAAAGGTCCCAGGTTCGATTCCGGTCAAGGGCATGTACCTGGGTTGCGGACACATCCCCAGTGGGAGATGTGCAGGAGGCAGCTGATCGATGTTTCTCTCTCATCGATGTTTCTAACTCTCTATCCCTCTCCCTTCCTCTCTGTAAGAAATCAATAAAATATATTTTTTAAAAAAACACACCCCTAGAGCAGATAGTAAAGATAAGCTACTGTCCCCACTGCCAAGCAGAGGTAGACTGCTGTTTAGAGCCAAAGTGAAAATACTGGTAGCCATGCGCCTCCAAGGTAAGAGGTGATTATGAAACCTTCCAATATTTACCCCAACATGGCATTTACCCCAACATGAAGTACACTTGCACAGGCTGACTTTTTTGTCATTCCCTAATTAGTTCCAGAACTCATCTGTTCTCAAGATTGGCTAAACAGGCTTGTTAAGGGAGGCAGCAGGCACAAACCCTACTCAGTTAATCCATCTCCAGTCATTGTGAGTGCATGCACTACCCCTGGAATTCCAGGCTTGGTTGTATTTTTAATCTGGGGGAAGGGTTGGGATTCTAGAGCTTCCCAATTTGTCATGTCCAGTACTCAGCTTCCTCTGCTGTATGTGCTTCACCCAGTCAAGAAGGCCCATTCCTTTCTCCAAATCATAATAAACCCATTTGGTGACACCCTCGAGAAGGGCCCGGATCTCCCTGGGGAAAGGCACTGGTCCCCTGTGTCTGCCCTGCAACATGGCATAACCTGGCAGTTTTGGACAATACCTTCAACTCCTCCATGCACCATGATACTTAAAATAGATCTTTCATCAGATTCTGATTTCCTGGAGTTAACATTTCTCCCAAGCCTGTCTTTGAAAACAGGGCCTAAAGTTACTGAGTACTGCCTTGTGTTCAGAATGCCTAGCCTACTCTGCCTCAGCCTTCACTCCTGCTCTCACAGAGCCTCAAGATCACACACAGGTGAGAGCTTAGGGCCTCCTCAGTTCTTTTCTGGGTGTGCTTACAGCCTTGCACATGCACCTGCATCTGTCCTTCCAGATCCCCAGGAATATATCAGAACTTTTCTTAAAATTTTCATGTATTGATTAGAGAGAGAAAAACATTGATATGTTGTTCCACCTATTTTTGCATTCATTGGTTGATTTCTTGTATGTGCCCTGACTGGGGATTGAACCCAAAATCTTGGCATAGTTGGACAGTGCTCTAACCAAAGGCCCTACCCAGCCAGGGCTTCAGAGCTGTTCAAATCCCCCTCTGGACATTCTATTCCCTAGCTCTTACTTTCATGTTTATTGGTCAACCTCTTGTTTGCTCTAACTCTTATCACCCCGGCAGGCAACTGTGGAGTTAAACAATGACCACCAACTGTTTTGAAATGGCTATGCAAACAGTTCTGAGTCAGGTCAAAGATGAGCTCTGTAAGGGGAAGTGTCTCGGGAACTGCCATACAGGTGACAATTATCTGGGTCTCACACCCACTAGAATGGCTACTATTTTAAAAAAGAAAAGTGTTGGTGAGGATGTGAGAAATTGCAACCTTTATGAACTATTGGTCGGAATATAAAATGGTGCAGCTGCTATGGAAAATAGTATGACATTTCCCCCCCAAAATTAAAAAACAATTAGTATTTAGTCCATCAATTCCACTTCTGGATATATAGCCAGAAGAATTGATTTTGCACACCCATGCTCATAGCAACATTATTCACAATAGCCAAAAGGTGGAAGCAATCCAGAATAAGCGAAGTGTGGCATATACAAAATAAACAAAAAAAGGGAAAATGTGGTAATACATGCAATGTTATTTACCTTTTAAAAGGAAGGAAATTCCAATAAAAAAACTAAGTAAAAGGAAGGAAACTCTAACACACGAAGTAAAAGGAAGGAAACTCTAACACATGCTGCAACACAGATGAACCTTGAAGACATTTTGCTAAGTGGCATAAGCCAGTCACCAAAAGGCAAATTTTTGTGGTATCTAGAGTAGTCACATTCATAAAAATGTAAAATAGAGGGTTCCGGCGGCAGCAACTGCAGTGCATGGCGACCCTAGGACCAGGACACCCGTGTGCAGTGATACCTCCAGGGTGCATCCCTAGGCGGTGAAGGTGAGGCAGCTTCGGGAAGCAAAAGAAGAAAAGCTGGGACGGGAAGGCCTGCGAAAAGCCAGCCCCAGAGGAATCCCCTCCAAGCCCAGAGGCCCAGGCGGAGCAGCTGGCTCAGGAACTGGCCTGGTGTGAGGAGCAGCTAGAACTGGGCCTCAAGATGCAGAGACCCAGCCTGCGGGCTCTCAAGACAGCAGCCCACTCAGCCCATGTGCAGCCTGTACGTGAGGCCACCAGAAAGAAGAGCCGAAGGGTCTGCAAGCCCCGCCTAGAAAGGGGAACCAAGGCCACCCTGGACATTCCAGATGAAGAGTTTAGGTTCAATTTCTTTTAGCCTCTCCTCCCATCTTGCAACTGCCCCCCTTCCCCCCAGGGTGTAGGGGTTTGCCTGGAGTGCACTTAGAGGGATGTGGGTTTGGTCTGTGCCTGGAGGGTCAGTTAACCTGGTGCCATGGCTGCTGGGCAGATGTGAGGCCAGCATATTGAATACTGTCTGACAAGCACAAGACCCCATTTGTAGGTTTTCAGATGAATGG